TAACGCATTTCTTGAGATAATACTATGTTTGTTGTCAAGTGCGATATATAGAGCTCACAAACTAAATTCCCTTCGTAATTTCTTGCTTAAGTTCATTTTGTAAATAGGAAAAACTAGTTGGTGTTTATAAATCTCCACCTTATTCTCATATAGTTGTGATTGCGCCAGTTCTTTTTATTCTTAAGTCCAATATTCATGTGCAGCTTTACGACAGAAATAGGTACGGTAGTGGTATTACCCATAAGAGTTGTAGGCCGTGAGATATACGATTTTTCTGTGAATATGATTCCGCTAGTTCTCCCTACCCTGTATAAGGAACATAGTAGAGGTAGTTCGCGCCCAGACGATGCAGTATTTTGACTAGATACGTCATTTACATTATTTAAAACAAGATTGTTAATAAAAAATTACTTGTAGGGAATTCCACTACATAGTCGTTCACCATATAGGTGTAAATGTTGAAGCGTAACGCTTCATATGAATCCCAACCTACGTCTACTCCCTTGATGATGGAAAAGGAAAGTGGAATTAAATCATGCAACCCCATTGCACACTCCCCGTGATATACTTATCCTACAGAATACTGACAAACAGGCTACTTTACGGGGCGGTTTTCAAGGTTCTGCAGCTTCACCTCTTCTAAATCCGAGTCACCTATAATAAGCCTATTGGCACGCTTTTCCACTGAATCCAAGGTGGCTAGTTGGTGTTTAGTAGAGCCATACCGTAGGTGGCAATAGTACTCCATATATTATATTACCAATGGACGGAATAAGGTGTTTAAATAAACAGATAACTGTCTATACATAGATTCTAGTGGTGTATTAAAACAACCTTCTGCTTGTAGTTGTTCAAAAATATTTACTTTGTTGAAAGATTAGTTATCTACTACATTTTTTTATAATTTCTTTAAATCCCCACTTCAGCTTCGTAGGTGAGTAGTTTCATCTTAAGATACAACTATAAAAAAAAAGGTAAAACTATTTCCGGAAATCTGGAATTCGAAAAAGTAAATAATTAATATTAATTGGTGGTTTTAAACACCCTATGGCACTTCTTGTATCTGTATGTAGTCATTTCTCTACTCATTTGGAACACCCTATTCTGACTTTTGAATATTATATTCTATTAATTAATGATATATGTATCACTCATACGCAAATATACATACTTACTTATGTACATATCCTATTGAACTATGTTTGTAGGGCATGAATGAGCAAACAGTTTTTACAATTATTCTATTAAAGGCAATTGAATGCGCTTACGTATGTAGACGTAGTGTGAAACGACGCTTTACTGATAACACTCGTATACAATCTCACAGCGTTAAATTAAATCTGTTAGGTAAAAATAAATATAGGTCCACCGTGGTTTAGATAAAAATTCTTCGAGAAAAATATCTATATTTTTAGAAAAACGGTAACCAGTGTGATACGGTTGACGATCGTGTGCGATAGTCTTTTGTTATCCTTGCACGGTTTTACAGTTGAATTAAATCTGGTGGAGGTGTAAGTTTTTAGTGTTTGATATATTTAATTAAGTGTTCCGTACTGTATGTAGGTGACAGAGAATTGGTTAAAATAAAAATAAAAAACCTGCATAGTATGTAACTCTGGCCTTGGAACATTAATGAATATTTTATGTTTTATTATGTGTTGAAATGTTTTTAAAAAAGGTACTAAAAATTAACGACTCTACAATGCATTTTAAAATTTTCAATAAAATAAAACTTTATCTCATTCTAGTTTTATCATTTTTGAAAACTCGAATGCTCGACTTTGTCACAAACGAGCATTTCCGACATTGATGTACAGGATATTTAAAAAAAAAACATTATAATGTATAGAGTTGTGCGAGTTTTCAAAAAAAATTGTTGTTAAGTTAAATTCAATATTTGAGTAACTACTTTACTCTAATATGGAAGTCACCCCGGTAGGGCACAGACGCAGGTTCGAGTTCTGTCAGATCGAAGGAATTTTTCTTTGCGTTCGACCTTTGTATTAATATTTAATTATAACAAAACTTTTCATTACTTCACTAAGTAATTTCACAAAAATAAATGGATATTAGGGTTGTAAAACATCATAATATTTATTACTAGCAATTTTACTTTACTCCGAAATTAGACTTGATTATTGTTTGACCAATCTAAATTGATCCTGCATAATTATCAAATGTATAGTACTAAAAGTTCGACCTAAAGCAGTATTGTTTTGTATCAGTTCTGGTGTGACGAGCGGCATTAAGGAGAATGGCCCGGTTGCTTGGGATGTGGTCTCGTGCACTTAACCGGCGGCCTTTGCTAACCAACGTTGCTACCTACGCGACCTTCTACGCGGCAGCTGAAATGTCCCAACAGACTTTTAATAAATTCTACACGGTAACTGACAGCTTCAGCTGCTTTAAACAAAATTCACTATCATTTTTTGAATGGCTTATCAGGGCTAAACTTTATATGATAAATTCACGCAGAGAGCGGACCGGTGCGTTTATTAACAATTTACATACTAATTCAATTGCATTTGTATTACATTCACATAGACAAATCCCGTACAGGGGATCTACTCCGGTGTTCCGAAACAATTACTGTCAAATACGTAGGTAATATTCGACCAATTTAAAAGAGACATGATGCGAATGAAGCTTCATACTTGGCATTATCCTTTGATTTGGTAGAGTATTACTTAATTGATAGTAAATGTTCGGTCATTTTAGGGAACGGGACCTAGACCTCGTGTGCCGCACTCAGTGTGGGAGTTCATGAGGTTTTACTTAAAAATCCCATAAGAATGCGAATGATCTTTAGATGACCTCGGTGACCCAACCGTGAGTTGTGCGCTGTGGGCGCTAGATGAGGAAGTTCCGGGTTCGATTCCGGTAGGACTAAATAGAAACAGAGAAAATATTTTCTAAATTTTCGTTCTCTGGTTGTTCTGACTTTAGTGCCATTGGAAGTTGTATTGTTAATCAGCGTTATGTAATTTCTAAGCTTGTGTCCAGAATCACGGCAAGGTGTGTAATTTTGTGTTAATTTTATAAAAATTAAAGTCATAAAAATTAATCAAAATGTCTTGTAATTTTACCGACTACCTTAGGTAATGATGGAAAATACCACATGTCGGAGATATAGTAGTTTATCTAATGTCACATAGTAACGTAATGTTAAAATTAACCTGAATAATAGTATTCAATCCAGCTGATAGGACAATCCTTGTCGTTCCCATGACTATAATTTTACATTTATGATGTGATCAACAACCTACATAAATAGTTTTACATAACACAAAAAAAAAATGTCCCTGATCATGTCTAAGAACGTAGATATATGCAGACACTGGTTCAAATATATAGACAATAATAACAAAAAGCCTTACAGAAAGAATAAATAAAAAAAACATAAAAATATACCTTGGCAGCGGTGGGATTCGAACCCACGCCTCCGAAGAGACTGGTGCCTTAAACCAGCGCCTTAGACCGCTCGGCCACGCTACCATATGTCTGGGATGCCGAAATTACGCATCGGTTGATGTATCGCTGCGACACGTGGCAATATTACATAACTACCTGCTATAATTAGATTTATTTGACTTCATACATTAGCACCTACGCTATGATAATATGAATGAAATTACAAATAGAGATGACGATGGTAGTGTATTATTACAAAGTACCTACCTACTGGGCTGCGTTTCGCGCTATAATTTATCGTAATAAATGACTGTTGCAATTCATATAGTTCCACTGTTACGTAGACGTCTCATTTCAAAAGAAAATATGAAAAAGTTTTGTTCTTTGTTTCAGTCAGAAAAACCCGACATAGACTGGGCGAGTGGTGCTAAAACAGTGCTCGTGGGCAGTTGCATCTACCCCCCAACATTGTACGCGTGGTACGTGCTTAATAACTTTCAAAATAATGATTAAGTACATGAAGAATTAATGTTTTAAATACAGACTGAACCGCTTATACCTACCGCAAATGGTGAAATAATACGTTTTTTTCAAAATTATTGATTGACAGCCAAATTTGAAATGATTTTCACTGTTAATATAACGCGGATGTAGCTATTGTATAATAGTTTATTAAATTACTTATACATTTAAAAAAATATATAATTATTGTTCGCAATACCACGTAGCGTAAGTTCGTTTGTAAGAAAAGAGTACCCTGTCTTGATTTTGGCTCTAATCATAGAATTTCAATGAGAATCTTCGCTTCATACGCGACATTGTCAATTTTATTGTGCTCTTTTTATATTATTTTTTATTACAGGTATAAATTTCTAGATAGAAAAATTCCTGGAGCAAGTATAAAAGCTGTTATTGCCAAGGTGGTGTCCGACCAGTTTTGTATGACGCCTATATTGTTAGCGTCTTTCTTTATTTGTAAGTACCTATCTAGATTTTTCCTTTTTTCCTGTCACATGGATTTTACTCTAAATGCAAATTCATAGTACTCGTAACAATCAAGTTGTTTTGTACACCATGCATCGTAATAAATGTAATTAGTTTGTTCTAAAACTAGGTAGATAGAAAACATTTGAAACTTATTATTTTTATCCTGAACCCTAGAACCCGGTATGATGATTTCTGAGACATCTATAGGATAATAATTATTTTAATTTTGAAATTTTTTTTTTTTTCAGTAATTAGTGTTCTAGAGGGTAAGAACGTACAAGATGAGCTTCAAGCCAAATATAAGACAGCATTTATAGCAAATCAAATATTTTGGGTACCGGGGCAGACGATAAATTTTCTTTTTGTGCCCGGGCATTTAAGGGTCGCATACATTTCTATTGTATCTTTCCTTTGGATCAATGTATTATGTTTTATTAAGAGACAGAAGATAGAAAAGCAAGAGGAAACGACTAACGGAAAGTAGGAAAGAAGTAATTAAGTACAAAATAAAGATGTACGAGTAAATAAAATTGGTGGAATCTTTGATCATGAAAAGTACTGGTGGATCACAATTTTACTTGGTTGGATTTTAACGCCAGTCTGCAATTTTATTTCATTGAATTCGCCGCCATAAGACATGTTTTTTAATATTATTAGTTTAAATGCTCAAACGAAATGTTTTCATGTACTAAGAAAGTGTCTGAAATGATACAATTGTGAAAAGAGCAATGGCGAATCTTCGTCCGTCTATTGTAACGGCAAATGGCAAACAAAACTTCGGTAAAATTATAGTCGGCGAAAAGTTTGCAAACTATTACATTTTTATGTGCAATGTGTTGTATGCATGATTTCAATATAAAAATAATTTTTATTAGTATTTCGGTCAATTTCCATTTTTATTTTGTAAGTATTTTCGAAATATATTTGGTAAGAATATTAAAAGGTTTTTTACTTTAAAATATAGTTATTTTTAAATTATTTATTAAAGAAAAGCAACAACCCATTACAATCAAATTTCACATAATAATATTACAAGTCTTCTATTAGACTTTATTTTATTCCAGTCTGTACTGTATCAAAGACGCGATGCTATTGGCCTACATTTTTACTGACAGTAAAGGGAGTATTTTTGAGGAAAAGTGTTTACTACTTAATACCAAATTTTGTTTCTTTTTTTTTCTTCCCTTCCCATTGCTTACAATTATACTTCCCTTCTGTTTTCTTACTCTTTGGGAGTATCTGTAAGAGGAGAGTTTTCAAGAATAGTTATTTGTACTTAATACTATATTTTTGTTTATGTTACTATATATATATATATTAATATTATATTGTTTCCTATTTATTCCTTTCCCATTCTACTTTTTCCCTTTTCCTTCGTCATTCCTTTTTCCCTTACTTTTCTTTTCCTTCTCTTCCTTTTTTTCTTTTTTTTTCAACAAATAATATAATATGTTGGCAAAAATGCTATCTTCTTATCCAGGATCATTTTCATTCTCTTCATACTTGGTATCGTAGACTGATCTACGTTGTAACAATGTTTAGTAGACTTCTGAAGTTTCCAATACGAGGTCGAGAAGGCTAACAAGTATGAACAAGAATGTGATTATTACAATTATTATCTGTTGTACATACAATAGATATTATTTGAATTGATTTTATTGAAGTTATTATGCAATATTATTATAAAATTCACGTCTAATTAGATTGTGTCGCATAATGTCTTGGGTATTCCTAAGGCTTCTCTTTTACTTATTAAAGTCAACGGCGATTTTTTATTATTATTGCATTTTCTGTCTCTGTAGTGGTAAGACTTCCTCTTGGATTATATTTTCATGCATTATGGCTAGTTTAAATTATTCCCAAAGTTGCTCCACGCAAGAAGGCATTGGGTTTGCGTACAATTTGACCGAATTTGCCAACGCTACGTTAAAAGATGAAACACAAAGTGAAGTTGCAATTGTTGGATTTGCAACAGCGGCATCGACTCTGATTATCTTATTTGCAGACGTTCTTTTAAGTCTTGAGGTAAGATTTTTTTTTCAATAATTGTATCTTTGGATGCGCCGCAATATTTGTGTATTTAAATAGTGTTATAATTTTGCATGTTCTATTTAACGATTTTTAGGGAAAAGCAAGCGAAGTTATTATCTTTCCGAAAGTGGACAGTGTATTGAGGTTAAATTGGAAATTAACAGTCTTAACACTCCTCAACTAAAACATCACAACTAATAGGTCACTGCATTCAAGTCTAAGATTCTAATATTTGCTTGTTTCAGTATAAGAAACGCGGTTCATCATCATTATGGACAAGACTCTTGAAACAATTGACTGCAAAGAATGCCTCCAGGACTGTCGTTCTGACATTATTAGTGTTAGTGCTACCATTAGTGTTAGTATTTTTATTTTTAGCTTTAGTTTATAAAGTATTGTGCTTAGTGGTAATTAAAAGGAAGGACGAACATTTTGTGGAATTCTTGGACAGCTTTGATGTGTTCTGGAGCCTTGAAGATGACACTAGCAAGAGTACTATAAACGCTCTCGGTGTTATAGAGTCCGATTCACCTGTTATTATTGCAAATAGTATTAAGGACAAGTTGCAAAACATATATCAAAGCGATAGAATAAGGAAAATCTTCTATAGACGTAGCCAGGAATTAGGATTTTACTATTGGAGGAAATATAGTTTGGTTGACATGAACCAGTATGTAGAAGTTATAGAAGTACCTGACAAACGTGATCTCCAGATTGTGGACTTAGAAAATCTAATGACAGAATTACAGAAGCAAGCTTTACCATATGAAGATGAAGGGTTATTTAAAATATTGATAACAAAGCAGACAGTTGGTAAATGTTTTAAGGAGAGAGGTGATTACGGTATTATATTCAGGATTCACCATTCAGTAGGCGACGGAGCGGCTTTAATCCAGCTTCTTTGCCAATCGTTCGCAGATAACAGTGATTGCTGTCAAGTGAATTGGTTTTCTTTCCCTGATGGTTGTAGCAAACGAGATTCTCCTGGAAATTTAATAGACATGATGCGGAAACTTTGCGATATTCCCATACGCTTTGTAGATGGAATTATTCGCAAACCTGATGACAGCGTCTTACATGGTCCAGGATTATTAGGGACTAAAGTATTTAAATGGACTCAGTCTGATGAAAATTTACTCACAATGGTCAAAGAAATAAAAGATAATGTTGAAAATTTAAATTTTACAGACGTTTTACTTACAGCTCTATCAAAGGGCTTGCGAGATTTTTTCACTCAGGTAAATTTTAATCGAAATAATTGAGTTTAATTACAATTTACGTTAATTTAATAATGGTATACATTTGTAAACAGAAACTGGCTCGTGTTCCAGAAGAAGTTGCAGTAATTTTACCTATAAGATTTCCAAAAACATTGTCAATTAAAAGTAACACGAAATTGAAGAATGATTTTAGCGTAACGATTTTGGATGTCCCGGTCCAAGAAAACAACTTTAGTATAATTAAAAAGAGATGTAATTTGTTACGCAGTAGTGCTGACCCTCTGGTAAGACATTTTATGTTTTTAATAAACCTAGTTCTAATGCTTTGTAACAGAAAATATTTAGGTACCTATGTTTATAGATAGCAAGTGCATCATATTTATAAGCTCGACATGAAACAATAACGCATTGATTGCTTGCTATGATTTGATTCATTTCTATGAACAATTCAAGGTCTGAATGATTGAAGAATTGAAGATCTGAATGAGAGAGGTATGAATTGAATCAACTGATTATACTGAGTAAACGTGGGAAAATTTAAACGCTTTTTTTCTAAAACGATATTTATAAAAGTTAGGAATCAAACTAGCAATTCATAAATAAAATTGGCAAGACTTTTAACAGTAGATTATTTGATTTCAGACAAACTTTTACTTTCTCAAATTAGTATGCAGCGTACTACCGAGATCAATACTGCAGCCTCTTCTAAATAGCAGTCAAGCCACTATGGTGTTCAGTAACCTACCTGGTCCAGAGACGCTTCGAATATGTGGGGGAAATGTCTTAAAATCGTTGGTGTTTTTCGTGCCGCACAAAGGAAATACTGGTAAGTAGTTAATCCTAACTTCAGCTCGGTTCTCATTTTGAAAGGTAAATCATTCTTGTATACAGTCGACAGTGATGTAAGGGCAAGGTTCTTAGAACGTTGCTTTTCTTCACGTCCACGAGCATTGACGTGTCGCCATAGTAACAACGACTTCGTAAAGTAGAATTTAAATGAATACATATCATGGGAAAAGTTTGGTTTAGTAAAGAAACACGGAAATACTCAAAATTTTTCGTTGATATGGAAGTAAAGTTTTAACAATACGAAGTGTCAAATTATCTATTATTTGAAATGTGTCCTATGTAATCTAACGCTACAGCTGTGTCGTAATGCAACACTCATCTGACGAAGACTTCGTGGTTTACGCGTCGCGATGCATACCGTCATTGTAAACCGCAAGAGACTTTTATAATGAATAAAGAAACTTTGCCGATGTATTAGATTTAGATACCTATGTATATATTTTTGGTAAGAAGTACCTTTTATTGATAGTAAAGCTACATAGCTAGATAACTTAAAATGTTACTTAAAGCAAGAGGTATGTTATGCTTAGAGTGTTAAAATATATCTTTTCAATCTTTCGTATAGGTCTTGCAGTAACAGCGTTATGTTACGGTGGGGTGCTTCAATTTGCGGCCATGGCAGATACCGCCCTGGTCTCCAGTGCTCAGGATCTAGGTCTCATTTTAGACGGTATGATAGATGAGATTCATCTATTGCATCATTTGTATTCGAACAAGTAGATGAAGATGCTCCGGTGGCACTAAGGTGGCATCTCAGTTCAAGGTTGGTAACTGTATAAATTTAGGTATACCTAAACTGTTCATGCCATTGGTCCAATGTGACTAATGTGTTTGAAGAGTTTCGTGAAACTTCTCCGACGAAGGACCTCTCAAGAATGAGGGATTTCCCTCGTACATAAACGTTATTAACGAGGAAGTACCTAAATGAATTTTGTTTGTTATAGATATGGAGACCGTCAATAAGAAGCCACCCATTTTGTATCGGAATCGAAATTTAAGATTTTATGTCAGTGATAATAAATGTTCTCGTGTACTTAACACATATCTTTTTATTTCGTAAACATAACTTTTAGAATAACTATTATATAACAATCAATTAGCTAAGAATAATACTGATCTAAACTAAAAATAACCTTAAAAATATTGAAGACCCAACATTAATCCACCCAGTTGACTTTGCCTGGTGCAAGTTCTTCGACTTGAGCCTTCAAACGCAGATTTTCCAAGAAGAGAAGGTTGCATTTCCGAACCTATAAAAAAATGGGTTATAAATATGTTGTCAGCTACAAGATAGAAGATCCGATCTTATGGAAATAGACAACTGGGCTTCCTCTATTCGAAAGGAAAAAACAAATGATGATATACCTAAGTAAAAAATATCTACAGTACACCTCTGCTAACAGTAGAGCGGCGGCGGAATCACGTTCAGCGAGCAGAGTGTCAGCGATTTGTGAGTCGAGTTCAAGACGCGCGCGCTCTGCGGCTGCCATCACATCACGCATTGTTGACTTCAACTGAAAGATCTTCTCTTCGTACCGACACTTCTGAGGCAAATTGTCACTTCGTTAGTTTAGCTCTACCGCCCCTGCGTTAAGGTTAAGGTCCTCATTCTGTCTAAATGTGGGAGGCTTGATTAAAATCTAGACATTCCCCATGCTAATCAACTGCATCAAAGTTTTTCCTACACTACCTATATATCAGTGGCGAAGAGCCCATACAACACGATTTCTATAGGCTTAATAAAGTGTCTAATTGAAGCGTTATAAAACATTAGCCTAAAACGGGGTAATGGGAGTCACTTAAGCAATCATTGTACTAATAATCGACATACAAATAAAATATTTATTGCTACTACCTTATAATGAAAGTAATATATTAAACTATTAATTGAGATAGGTAATTAATTTTGACTGCCATTGCCATTACGTGTAGGCAATGGTAGTCATCTACTTGCAATTTAGGGTCAGGTAAGTTTATTATGTATCACAAACATAGCTCTTTGCGGACACTCTGTGTAACATGCACTAGTACCATATTTCATTGTCTTGTCCGAATTCGTTGCATATTATGCATCTATTTCCTTCTGGGTGGCTAATCGAGGTGTAATATAAATATTAATCCACAACATTTTCACTAAAATAAACGTCTTAAAATTTCATCGCGCATCGCCAAGTTTCCTATAAAACGCCTGACTGGTTTGTCCGACGAGGCAAGCCATATCGCCGACTTCCCACCCGTCTATGACAACCATTTTGCGTATCGTTTCAATTACGAGAATTTTTAAGGCACGTCAACTTGCGTTAAACCAAGTCTGTGAGTGAATAATAATTAGCAATGCACATGTGTGACATATGTAAGCGAGAAAGGTAGATTGTTTGATCATCGTAGTAAAGATAATGTGATTTTGATGCGTCCTGTTATTGGTGGCGGTATATACCTAGGTACTATTTGTTTTTATTGAAAATAATTATGGCAGCCGAATTGATCAAGTGCGAATGGTTATTATATATATTTATAGGCAATTGTTGGAATTTGTTTAACTGTATATTGTTGAACTTTGAATGTAACTAGATTACATGATATTATCATATAATCTAGTTACATTCAAAGTTTTGTTAAATGCAATTCCATCATTAGGTTTGTTGGTAAATAATTTTGTATTTAATTTTCTCAAGATTCATTTACTAGGCATTCTCAGTTCCAGAAAACAAAATTATCCACTCGTTTCAGATTTTTTCATACGTTTTAATCATACTTTGATTACAGAAAAGTAGAAACAAAATAAAAACGGTTCCAACATTCAAGCCATACATTTGCATGTCGATAATGACTTATCGATAGATTATGGTACATACAATACTAAAGAAATCCTCCATTTGTAGCGTTAAATTTTCGTTTATATAAACACTACATACTACGTTCATTCTGTAGTTAGGGCAGCTCCATTCCTTTATTTTTTTCCATCCTCTAAGAGAATAACACATTAAAAAAGAATGTAGCAGAATTCTTTTGAAATCTCTGCGAGCCACCGTCTTTTTGATGATAAGTGTTTACTCTTCGCCAATGCTAATTACGGCATGATATCCTGCTCATCAATACCATATATATCTATGGCTCAATACCAAGAAAATAGATCTATAAAATCATTAGACAAGGACTAGGGACAAGTTGTATATACTTGGCCCCAAGATTGTTCAGTAGATAAGGGCTATTACAAGGGCAGTGCTGTCATAATCGTAATGCGCTTATTTAACTGCCTTCGTGGTAGAGCGGTTACCATGCAGAGGTCTCGGTTCGATTCCTGGGAAGGGAGAAATGGGCAATTTTCAGGTTAGTTTTGTCTACCTAATTTCGGTGGCAATTCTTATTATTAAGTATTAGAGTAAATTTATTGTAGTGAAATATTAAATACTATTTCAGGAACTACACTCGAATATTAAGTAATACTTCATGATAATATTCTAGAAAATTTAAATAAATACTAAATAAAAAAGATCACCACAAATTAGGTTGAGAAAATTTGCCTGAAAATTATCCAAATATTTATATGGCCTACGTTTATTTATCTCGTGAATTTGGGTGTGATTTGTGGTTGTCCATGTGTGTGTTCATGGTACCCACGATACAAGATTTCCCTAGTGCGGCTATGAGTGTGTTGTGTATTTCGCATCCTCGGTATGATAGGTAAGGCTACATCATCAAAATGACAACTTATCGGGCGAGAAGTTCGAAGATTCTGCGAACGAAATTGGTCGATAACTTTTGTATGCTTAAACAGAAGAGCTTCAAGTTAGCGTAGTGTTCATTGGATGGATCGATTTGTTTCATGTAGTTTTACGATTTTCATGTGATAAAAGCGCTTTTGACGTATAATTACGCCTTCATTATTTTATTTATTCGGGTCAACAACAGTTTACATTCACAAGTGTTACAATTTAGGAATTATACTAATTTAGTAAAAGTAATTAAAGTTAACGACAGTTTAAAATTTGAAAAATTAAAAAAAAGAAAGTCTTGTCCAAACAACTGAATAATTGTGTGCCTGTATCAAAACTTGTGAAGTGAGAGTGTTTGTGTGGCTGTACACTCAATGAATCAATTATGAGATTGTTGAAGCAAAGATTATTAATTATTGCAACTAAATTTGTGCGCCTGACGGTTGTACAATAGCAAACGTACACGAGCCAACTTATGCAATTTTCTTTTGTAATTTTTAGCTTGCTATTACACTCGGCAATACACGGTGTTCCCTTTTTTGTTTTCACAAGTCTCTTTTATTTGGAACTTCCTGAAATTCCCAACATGGTCCTACATCGAAGCCGGATTTAAGAAGATCACGGAAATAATTTGTTGTATGTGGAAATTAGTGGAGAATTAAGAACAACACGTCGCGCATATTTTGAGGTCAAGGGCATCCAAGGGCATCCAAGGACGAAAGAATCAAAAGTGGCCAAAACTGGAAAAATGCTTAATTAATGACTGTTAATTAGGGAAACTTACTTCTTAATTACCCCCAACACTCTCATTCAGGTAGTATAGAACTTGTATGGTAACACTGATTTGTGATAAGGTTAGTGTTGGCGTTAGTTCAATTATAATTAATTTAATTACTTGTTCTCAGTGACTTAGGTATTTGCTAATATAAAAAATCTGTAAGTAACTTAGTTCTATATTATTTTATAACTTCACTTTGGCGTGTACGTAATTTACCTATAATTGGTGCATAATTACTTAATTTAATAAATTACTTTGCAATCATAAAGATTTGTAAATTAGCGTAACTGTTCTCATTTATGTTCATATTTCAACATTTAATCAGCTGTGAACTGTTAATAAAGAGAGTATATTACTTAGGTTATTTACTCAAATTACTTGTAAACCGTTCCAGGTCTAGCAACCGCCTTCCAAAATTACTGAGAGAGACACAAAAAACGAGGAAAGTGATCTAAATAAGAAACGTGCTAGCTACAAGGGTCGAATAAACGTTTTTGAAACTTATTTGAACTCATTACACGTGCATTCCATGGAAGAAACGGAAATAAACGAGTTACATATTACAATAATTTTATAAACAAAAATGTTAACAAGCCTAGTTTACTTTGGAGAAATTTGAAACATACCACCTTACCTGACAAATTATGCACAAACATAATTCCTGATCATCTAAATGATCCGAATAAAATCAATGACCACTTTCTGAGCCTGCCGATGTATAACGAAAATGACTTAGAAAAAATAAGTGATAGCAGGGCGTACAGCTCTAGTGTCTTTAGGTTGACATCGGCATCGGAAACAGAAGTATTAAAGGCAATAAACAACATTAAAACAAATGCATCTGGCCACGATAATCTAAATATAGAGATGGTTAAACTGACCTTGGATGTGACCCTGCCGGTGATTACAGCCATAATAAATAGGTCCATAGAAACAAAAATCTTCCCAACGTGCTGGAAACGAGCCCTAGTTAGGCCTGTCCCCAAAAAAAACTCCGTTGATAATTTAAAGGATTTACGCCCGATATCAATACTGCCCGTGCTATCGAAAGTATTAGAAAGGATAGTGCTTAGTCAGGTTCTCAGTTACGTGGAAACTACAAACATAATACCGAAGTTTCAGGCGGGTTTTCGTAGGGGATACGGCACTGAATCAGCATTACTGCATGTTACAGACGACCTGACGGAGGCGTCCGATAGAGGGTTGAGCTCGGTCATGATACTATTGGACTACTCCCGAGCTTTTGATTGTTTACATCCGGATCTACTCGTAGCAAAATTGAAATACTATGGTTTTACACTCGATACATGCCAGTGGTTCACATCATTTCTAACTAATACAGAACAGATGGTGGTCGTGAGCGACAAAGATGGCTCAAGTAGGTTTTCGTCACTTAGAGCGTTAGTGAGAGGTATGCCCCAGGGGTCCTTGTTAAGTCCAATAATGTTCTCCATTTTCACTGCCGATCTACCTGGGTGCATAGAGACGTGTAAATACCACTTGTACGCAGATGATACCCAGCTCTATTACTCTTTTGAAGGTAAAAATGGCGGAGAGGCAATCAGGAATATTAATCATGATCTTCAAAAAGTTCATTTATGGTCAAAAAAGAATTCTCTTGTTTTGAATCCAGTTAAGTCCCAAACATTAATTCTAGGTACTAAACTCCAAATAAAGACCGTCCTCGACTGTGACGAAAAAATCAAAATAAATAACGTCGAACTCGAGTTGGTAACTTCTGCGCGTAATCTCGGACTAGTGTTGGATGGCGAACAAAGATATGTAGAGCACATAAATACCAAAATTAGAAATAGTTTCTTTAAGTTGAAAACACTTTATAAACATAGATCATATCTTAAAGAAGACTTGCGCCTCCTCTTGGCTGACCTACTTGTGCTATCACCCTTCAATTATTGTGCTACCATTTAAGGCCCTAGGATAAATAGCAATACCGAGAGAGCAATACAGCGAGTACAGAATGCGTGCATTCGTTTTTGCTATGATGTACCTAAAAGACAGCACATAACGCCGTATCTTAATTCAAAATTAA